GTATTCCAATCAGTTATAGGCAGAAGACGGGCTTACAAGCTTTCTCTGGTGATATTTCTTTGTCTTAATGACCTTTTGCTTTCTTCCTGTATGGTATACTTGATGTCATCTCATAACTTTTCTGCTCTTTGGTCATTATTGTCTAATGCATCAAATCTGTCCATCAGATGATCTCTAAATTTAGGTGGAATATATTCAATGTCTAATTTTGACTCTTGCGGATTGTTTTAATTTTCTTCAGCTTCAGCCTGAAGTTGCATGTGAATTTGTTCCACAGTCTGGTGATATGGAGTTTTCCCACCATCGCTTTCCCCAGATGTAATCAATTTGATTTCTGTGTATTCCATCTAGTGAGGTCCATGTGTATAGTCATATTTTATGTTGTTTTAAAAAGGCATTTACAATGAAGAAACCAGTTGTCTTGCAAAATTCTATCATGGGATCTCCAGCATCATTTCTGTCACTAAGGTTCTATTTTCCAAACATTGATCCTCTCTTTAATTTCCAACCTTTGCATTCCAGTTGCCAGTAGTTATCAATATATCTTGATTGGATATTTGATCAATTTCAGACTGAAAAAGTTGGCAGAATTCTTTAATTTAATTATCACTAGCTTTAGGGGCTGGTATGTATATTTGAGTAATACTGGTATCAACTGGTCTTCCTTGTAGGTGAATAGATATTGTCCTATCACAGACATGAAACGTTCTTTCTGATGATGAATATGACACCATTCCTCTTCAATTTGTTATCCCCAGCAACTATGTGACTGTAAGATTTAAAATGGCCAATACCAGTCCATTTCAGTTCAGTTGTTGTTGTTGTTAAGTGCCGTCGAGTCGGTTCCAACCCATAGCAACCCTGTACAGGGTTTCTGAGGCTGTAAATCTTTACGGGAGCAGAATGCCTCATCTTTCTCCTGCGGAGCAGCTGGTAGTTTCGAACTACTGGCCTTAAGGTTCGCAGTCCAATTCGTAACCACTACGCTCCTTAATGCCTAGGATATCAATGTTTATGCGTTCCATTTCATTTTTGACAACCTCCAATTTTCTTATAGTCATACTTTGTATACTCCATGTTCAGATTATCAGTAGATGTTTACAGGCATTTCTCCTCATTTTAAGTTGTGCCCCATCAGCAAATGAAGTTCCCGAAAGTTTAATTCCATTCGGATCATCACAGTCAACTCTACTTTGAGGAGGCAGCTCTTTTCCAGTTGCACTTTGAGTGCCTTCCAATTTGAAGGGCTCATCTTCTGGCACTGTAC